GAAAAGGAGTACTTGTGGCACCTTAGAGACTAACCAATTTATTTGAGCATGAGCTTTCGTGAGCTACAGCTCACTTCACCGATGAAGTGAGCTGTAGCTCACGAAAGCTCATGCTCAAATAAATTGGTTAGTCTCTAAGGTGCCACAAGTACTCATTTTCTTTTGAAGTGATAATCAAGGTGGGCCATTTGCAACACATTTCCAGGAGTTAACAAGAACGTCTGAGGAACAGTGGGGGGGCGGGGAGGGGGAGGAAGGAAGGAATAAACAAGGGGAAATAGCTTCACTTAGTATAATGACTCAACCACTCCCAGGCTCTATTCAAGCCTAAGTTAATTGTATCCAATTTGCAAATTAATTCCAATTCAGCAGTCTCTCGTTGGAGTCTGTTTTCAAAGTTTTTTTTGTTGAAGGATCGTCACTTTGAGGTCACAAATCGAGTGACCAGAGAGATTGAAGTGTTCTCTGACTGGTTTTTGAATGTTATAATTCTTGACATCTGATTTGTGTCCATTTATTCTTTTATGTAGAGACTGTCCAGTTTGGCCAATGTAAATGGCAGAGGGGCATTGCTGGCACATGATGGCATATATCACATTGGTAGATGTGCAGGTGAACGAGCCTCTGATAATGTGGCTGATGTGATTAGGCCCTATGATGGTGTCCCCTGAATAGATATGTGGACACCGTTGGCAACGGGCTTTGTTGCAAGGATAGGTTCCTGGGTTAGTGGTTCTGTTGTGTGGTGTGTGGCTGCTGGTGAGTATTTGCTTCAGGTTGGGGGGCTGTCTATAGTCAAGGACTGCCCTGTCTCCCAAGATTTGTGAGAGTGATGGGTCGTCTTTCAGGATAGGTTGTAGATCCTTGATAATGCGTTGGAGAGGTTTTAGTTGGGGGCTGAAGGTGACGGCTAGTGTCGTTCTGTTATTTTTTTTGTTGGGCCTGACCTGTAGTAGGTGACTTCTGGGTACTCTTCTGGCTCTGTCAATCTGTTTCTTCACTTCAGCAGGTGGGTATTGTAGTTGTAAGAATGCTTGATAGAGATCTTGTAGGTGTTTGTCTCTGTCTGAGGGGTTGGTTGGCAAATTCGGTTGTATCTTAGAGCTTGGCTGTAGACGATGGATCGTGTGGTGTGGTCTGGGTGAAAGCTGGAGGCATGTAGGTAGGAATAGCGGTCAGTAGGTTTCCGGTATAGGGTGGTGTTTATGTGACCATCACTTATTAGCACTGTAGTGTCCAGGAAGTGGATCTCTTGTGTGGACTGGTCCAGGCTGAGGTTGATGGTGGGATGGAAATTGTTGAAATCATGGTGGAATTCCTCAAGGGCTACTTTTCCATGGGTCCAGATGATGAAGATGTCATCAATGTAGCGCAAGTAGAGTAGAGGCATTAGGGGACGAGAGCTGAGGAAGCGTTGTTCTAAGTCAGCCATAAAAATGTGAGTGGTTGAGTCATTATACTAAGTGAAGCTATTTCCCCTTGTTTATTCCTCCCCCCCCCAGCCCCCCACTGTTCCTCAGACTTGTTAACTCCTGGAAATGTGCTGGAAATGGCCCACCTTGATTATCACTTCAAAAGGTTTTCTTTCCCCCCACCCCACTCTCCTGCTGGTAATAGGTCATCTTAAGTGGTCACTCTCCTTACAATGTAAGTTTTTTTCACGGTCTGTGTGTATATATAAAATCTCGTCACTGTACTTTCCACTTTATGCATCTGATGAAGTGAGCTGTAGCTCACTTATTGCTTATGCTCAAATAAACTGGTTAGTCTCTAAGGTGCCACAAGTCCTCCTTTTCTTTTTGCGGATACAGACTAACACGGTTGCTACTCTGAAAACTTTCTAGCTATGCGACACACCAATCATATATAAATCCTACAAATACCCATGCCCAAGTTATAAATATAGTCATACTCACATCCTTAAAGATATTCTTAGAGTCTGATGGATTCCTCACCAATTGAACATCAGTAGAGGGATGGCTCCTGCTGGGAATTTTCCCTTGACTACTCCCAATTTTACTCAGTCTGGGAACCCTCGTTTATATTGTAATTTTGACTACATCTGACACACTTCCTTATGCACGAAGGTGTCAACCCTCCTTTTTCCTTATCTGTATTTCCACACCCCATAAATATTGGGGGTACCCTATTTTTCACAGGTTGTCTGTAGTTCCTCTTATTTTCATTAGCATCTATACACAGCATGTACTCTGCGGTCAGGACACGTGTTGTAAATGATGTTACAAGAAGGTATCTTGTGATCTTGAACAGTACATTGCAGCTGATTTTCTGCCACATCACCTGTTGGCACATCTTTCCAGTAGTCTTGTGATCTTACTGGCATAGGGTCAATCTTTGGTCACTTAGCCCTGGTCTACACGAGGACTTTAGGTCGAATTTAGCAGCGTTAAATCAATGTAAACCTGCACCCGTCCACACGATGAAGCCCTTTATTTCGACTTAAAGGGCTCTTAAAATCGATTTCCTTACTCCACCCCTGACAAGTGGATTAGCGCTTAAATCGGCCTTGCCGGGTCAAATTTGGGGTACTGTGGACACAATTCGACGGTATTGGCCTCCGGGAGCTATCCCAGAGTGCTCCATTGTGACTGCTCTGGACAGCACTCTCAACTCAGATGCACGATTGTTTGCCGTTGCTCTGACGCAGGGAGGGGCGACTGACGACACGGCTTACAGGGTTGGCTTACAGGGAATTAAAATCAACAAAGGGGGTGGCTTTACATCAAGGAGTAATTTCAGGCAGGACTTCACGGAGGGTTCCAATAAGAAATGGTGCACCTAAGTTATTGTTCTTATTGGAACAAGGAGATTAGTCTGGCCTCTGATTGATATATGGCTAGATTTACCTCGCTGCACCTTCTCTGTGAGTGACTGCAGTGTGACCTAGAGGAATGAGTCCCCTAGACGGGGGGTGGGGGTTTGCAAATGAGTACAAAACAAATCTGGTCTATTTCTTGTTTTGATACACTCCATCTATCTTTTACATCTTTGGCTGGCAGCAGACGGTGCAGAAGGACTGCATGCCATCCACATCTCATGACTGCTCGGCAGAAGATGGTACAATAGGACTGCTAGCCATCCTCATCTCTTGCCTGCCCGGCAGAAGATGATGCAATAGGACTGCTAGCAATCCGTATCGCCTGCCTGCTCACCATAAGATGGTTCAATAGGACTGACTGCAGGACTAAAGAGAATGACCTGATCAAGTCACTCCAAATTTAGTCCCTGCGCCCATGTCTGCCCAGGCGCTCCTGATCGACCTCACACAGGCCACCAGGAGCACCTCGGACATGACGATGATGGCTACCAGTCGTACTGTACCGTCTGCTGCCACAAGGCAATGGGTTGCTGCTGCGTAGCAATGCAGTACCACGTCTGCCAGCACCCAGGAGACATATGGTGACAGTGAGCTGAGCGGGCTCCATGCTTGCCGTGGTATGGCGTCTGCACAGGTAACTCAGGAAAAAAGGCGCGAAACGATTGTCTGCCCTTGCTTTCACGGAGGGAGGGAGGGAACGGGGGCCTGACGATATGTACCCAGAACCACCCGCGACAATGTTTTAGCCCCATCAGGCATTGGGATCTCAACCCAGAATTCCAATGGGCAGCGGAGACTGCGGGAACTGTGGGATAGCTACCCACAGTGCAACGCTCCGGAAGTCGACTCTAGCCTCCGTACTGTGGAAGCGCTCCGCCGAGTTACTGCACTTAATGCACTTAGAGCATTTTCTGTGGGGACACACACACTCGAATATATAAAACTGATTTCTAAAAAACCGACTTCTATAAATTCGACCTAATTTCGTAGTGTAGACATACCCTTACTCATGTCAAGCATTCTTAAACCTTTGGCCGAGTACGGCTAAGCTGAAATCTGACAGGCCTCAGCCTGCAGGCCTTGCATTTCAGCCATGCTGCACTTATATACCTAATGCTACTTATCACTCTTATACTTCTATAATCCTACCATTGAAATCTAGTTAGCATACCTTAATTAGAAGTAACTTAGTATCCGAGTTAATCATTACATCACAACCATAAATGGATAATAAAATGACCTAACTGACTAACTTGCCCCCTCAGACTGTGCAAAGGGCCCATGCTGCGAGTGGAGCAATTGTCCGTGTCTCAGCTAGAAGCCCCCTGATGAGGACGTGGAGACAGTGCAGTGAGCTGCCAGCCTTGTGCCCTGACAGGAAGAGGGGGTGGAGATGCTGGGCGAGAGCCCTGGTTTTACTTTGCCCCTTTCAGACAGTGAGCACCACGGGGGATTCTGGCCAAGACCGGCACAGGGCTCAAAGGGCGGAGCTCCTCGTGCCCATTCTGCAGCTGAGCTTCCAGTCGCAGTGGTTCTTGGATGGCGCGGGGATCGCACTGCCAATGGCATTCTAGCACTGCCTGCAGATCCCTCAGCTTTCCACCATCCGCGCCCATGCAAGCTCCAGCCAGAACCATCCCACAGACTCATTCTAAGGGATCCATTTCTGTCACATGTACCGGTGCATTGAGCAGGCTCCGGACAAGAATCCTGCCCTGGGACAGAGACTCTCAGGCCAGGTGGGCACTACAAACTCACATCGGTATAACTACATTGCTCAGGGGTGTGAACCCCCCTAGTGACGCAGTTAACCTAACCCCTGTGTAGACGGAAGAGCATCTCCTGCCAACGTAGCTACCGCCTCTCAGGCAGTGGAGTCACCATGCTGACGGGAGAATCTCTCCCATAGTAACATCTTCACGAAAGCGCTACACCTTTAGACATGTAGACAAGCCCCCACTGACTCCACAAGGAGAAGTACTAAACCCTGACTGCTGCAAACTCATTTCAAGATCTGTGTACTTTGCAAGGTAGCTGACCCTCCCGCGTCTAGCTATTCACAGTGTTATCCATCCTCTATCCCTCCCCAGTCCCCCCGCCAAAGTTCCCCTCTCCCATTCCCTCCTTCCCACTCCCTGGAGGTACTTTTTCTTTCCTCTCCCCACCCCTCTGCCCCCCACCTTTCTCTGACCCTGTTCACGGATATAATCCTACAGAACCATACAGCATGAGAACAAGCAGACTGGGCAGTCACTGCAGGACTGTGAGATGGGTCTAGCCTGCTCTGTATGGTACTGACAGGGCCCTGGGCTACCCTGAGTCTCAGGGATGGATGCTCAGCTGGAATCCTCCACCCCAGACCCAGAAGAAAGGGAAGATTTTCTCCCCATTGAAAGAAGCCTGTGGGAAAGTGAAGATCGGGGCCAGATCATCAGCATAATTAAATGCCACCAACCCCCCTTCATAGTCCAGAGAGACCCGGATCCTGCTGGGTTCTCTACTCAAGGACAGGCGGGTGACAGGGGAGGTTTGAGCCCGATAGTCTCTGGCATTGCCCCATTTCTGCACCACCCAGACCCCATCCTCGGGGATAAAGCCAACCTCTTCCTTCCTCAGCACAGACTGTCTAGCTACCCCCACAGCCCAGTCTCCGGCTACTCCTCCCTTCACCTTCACCTGCCAGGAATGTTTCCCCGAGGTGAAGCCCTCAGAGCCCAGCACACTCAGCAAATAACGAAATCTCTCCGGTTTGTAAGGCAACGTCTGGCTCTCGTGTCCCCGGCTCACGGTTCTTCGATCATCAGACAGGACGAGCTCAGGATGTGCCGTGTCTGGATCCAGAGTCACATTCGCTGGGGAGAGACAGAATCAGAGCGTTATCGGCACACATGGGTCAATGACAGAGCGAAAGGATCGGCTGGGCCAGACCTGAGCCTCAGAATCTTCCCCCCTGCACTCACCTACTTCGGAACAATACTGTGTAACATATATGTATGCCAGTCAGTGCTGCTCTTTATACAGCTAACTATCGACACAGATTTCAGAGTAGCAGCCGTGTTAGTCTGTATTCGCAAAAAGAAAAGGAGTACTTGTGGCATCTTAGAGACTAACCAATTTATTTGAGCATAAGCTTTCATCATCCGATGAAGTGAGCTGTAGCTCACGAAAGCTCATGCTCAAATAAATTGGTTAGTCTCTAAGGTGCCACAAGTCCTCCTTTTCTTCTATCTACAGAGAGAGAGAGATTACATGGCAAAAATACTTCACTAACCCAGCGTTAAGATGCCTGGTGAGACCTTGCACCCCTCAAGAAAGTCAGTTCAGCAAAACTGAATCTTGTGAATGCCGGGAGATAGCGAGTTCAGGTAAACACCTTCGCAACCTTAACTCTGCCCTCTGGAGCTGGCAATGGCCTCTGGGAATTATTTCCATGCACTGCAGCTGTAATCCCTGTGGTAGGTGCTGCTGTACTGAAGGGTGGAGGAACACGTTGGACCAGCTTGGAGATCTGTGATTGCGATAGGAGGTGAACTGTCGGGCTGTCCCCCTCTGCAGGATGTGTGTGTGTGTCCCCCTCTCTCCCTGGCCCCTGTGTGGGTGATCAAAGGAAAGAGGTGCCTGTCTACCTTGGGAGAACCAGGATGCCTCGTTTCAGTGCTGCGCTGGGCAGGCTGGTGTCCCTCGTGAGGCACAGGGCTCCTCTTGCCATGGGGGGCTGGGCGATGAGTGTGGAAGGTGAGTTTAATGCAGGGTCAGGGAAAGCAGGGTGTCAGTTGGCATCGTGTGCATTAGGGTGAGCTGACTGTAAAAGGAGTTGCAAGATTTAGCAGCTGTGGTGTTCTTTCTGTGGCGTGGGCTGAGATCGAGCGTAGGGCAGGCGTAGGGAGCTCCTGCTCAGCACAGCGCAAAGGCAGAGCCTGAGTATGTCATGGGTGTACTGGGGCATGGCTTGAGTGGGCAGAGTTAAGGTTGTGTGTTAAGGCATGTCCCTTAGCTCTGTATTTCCTGGTTTTCACAAGTTTGAGTTTTGCTGCACTTGACGTTCTGGAAGGCGCAAGTTATCGCCAGGCAGCCTCAGCTCTGGGCTAATGACATTTCTGACATTTAATTTCTGAGTTTTTTTAACAAAAGGAGAAATGTTGCTAGTAGGAGAGAGCGGCCATTCTGGCCTTGTAAAGATCATATGCATGCCCTCCCCCCTACCCCATTTATCCACCTCCCCATAACGTCCTCTACCCTTGCTGAACCCCAAATGCTCTCCCCCATCCCCTGCTCCAATCTCGCCCCTCCAAGCAAACATTCATGTGTCCAATTTCCCCCCCACAAAATACTTTGAGGATATTCTGTGACCCAGGGGACTCTTGGTGCCAACTGGCAGAGGGCCCAGGGGTACACGAAGTTTACAGGGATCCCCTGGGACGGGTATTTACATTCTAGTTCACCAAAGAGTGTCACGTAAGTCTCTACTGAAAGCCTGTGTCACGCTGGTCATTGTAATCATTGCGGGATGTGTGTGTGGATAATGTGTAAGGAGAGGGGTGTGTATGTTGGCAATCGTGTCCTTGAAGTTAAAGGCAGATCACCCAGAGGTAGATGCCTGAAGGCAGTTCCACCAGACAGGAGGCAGGAGACACGTATCACCCTGGCTGACTATGATGAACTGTCTCTCACAATGACAGTGTATTTGCATACGGAATCAAATGCTAATGAAGAAATTGTGGGGACTTCAGGAGAAGACATTAACAGGAAGAGGTGAACAGCTGGGGTGGGGGAAGGGGGTGGAACCCTGTTTTCAGGTGAAGAACAAAGGACTGGTCTAATATATCTGTGGATACAGACGGATGCCCAGGCATCCTTCATCTGGGGAGACAAGCTGACAAAGGGCTTGGTCTTAGGAAAGGAAGGTCTCGGCCTTCGGGATTGAAACGTGCCGTGAGAAGGTCTTTGGGTGAGCAGGACCTTATTAGACAAGAGGCATCTTGTTAGTTAAGTTGAGGCACTAGGATGTGTGTGAAGATTTTAGTTGCTATGTAACCTTAGTCTCCGGTATTTCTGCTGGCTTCATTTCAGTCTGTGCTCCATGTTAAATACACGTATACATGATTTCTGTATAAACAAATCTAAGCGCCATGTGTTAAGTGGAACTGTGTTCTAAGGTCTAACTAATAGGCTGGTGTGTTCTGGGAACAGTGGGTCTGGTAATTCTGTGAGTGTCCTGATGATCAGGGGCTGGATACGCTGGGGGATGCTCGGAGGACTGGGGGGTTGGAGTGTGGCTATCGCTAACCCGTGTGAGGGACAGTGGAGCCCGCACAAGCTGAACGGGGAGTGCTTGTGTTGCCCTGCAGCTGGTGGTATCAGGGAGCTGACCCATGGCAGGCACAGACAAGACGACCCCATGCTAAGGGCAGGTGGCAGCGAGGTGCCTCACAATCCTGGGCACCCCCGGGAAGCGTTATACATTTCCCAAAATAATAATAATAAATATTTTTTTTTAAAACCAATGGGCAGATTTAGCAACATGCCTTTTGCCTTTGAGCTTTTTCCAGATTTCTGCCCTAGGTGGGCTTGACATTGGCTGGGTGGACTCAGGATCAAAGGCTTGCTTCTTATCCCCTTGAGTTCATCACAGTTTCAGGGTAACTGCTTCTGTATTCACCCTTCACAGTTCTTCCAGGCACCCTCTTAAAGGTTTTGAACTCCCAGCCATCACCTCTCATGGGCAGAGATCCACGTCTCACTCCCGCCTGACTTGGGCTTTTAAGGCTGCACAGCTCCCCGCCTCACCCCGGGATATCCCCAGCAAGCCAGACTGCCTAAACAGGCCAGGGCCTACGCTTTGCTTTCTCTCTGAAGACAACAAGCAGTGTATTGCCCACAGCTATATGTTTCCACACAGCTCCTTCTAAGCAACCACGTTTCTTCTTTTAGATAAAAGCATGACAGAGAATAAATATTAAAACAATAAAGCTCGAAAGCTGACCTGAGATTTCCCCGTCCCCCCAACTCCAATCTACAGCTCTAGAAGGTTTTAGTCCTTCAAACCCCACATCTGGGTAATCTCCAGGGTTTGAAGTTTAGATCCAGAACCAGAGCAATGGCTGGGCAGATCAGCCATATCTTTATCCAACTCTGGCCTTTGATCTTCACCTTCTGTAACAGGTAATCAACAGAAAAAACCCTCCCCTCAGAGTGTAACTTCAAAAGGCTGGATTTTTGCATTGACCAGAGGTAAGTAATTTGCATTAACCTCGCCCTAGGGACTCCCCAGGAAATCCACTTAATATTTATTGTCCCAAAAGTCCATACTTGTCTGGCACATTTTCAATACAGCCTTTTGAACCGCCATGTCTTACATCCATCACATCTCCTCACTAGAGAGGTTATACACAATCCTGGCCCACAGCAGTACATACAGTTAGTACAATAAGATCTTTCAGTGATATTGCAGGAAATTGCCCTATCTACAGAGCCCAAGGTCAGCTCCCAGACTGCTGCGCTGGGCATCACAACATGGGGAATAGATGGCCAGCCCTCTGTGGAGAAAGAGGTGGTTAGGGACTATTTAGAAAAGCTGGACGTGCACAAGTCCATGGGGCCGGACGAGTTGCATCCGAGAGTGCTAAAGGAATTGGCGGCTGTGATTGCAGAGCCATTGGCCATTATCTTTGAAAACTCGTGGCGAACGGGGGACGTCCCAGATGACTGGAAAAAGGCTAATGTGGTGCCAATCTTTAAAAAGGGGAAGAAGGAGGATGCTGGGAACTACAGGCCAGTCAGCCTCACCTCAGTCCCTGGAAAAATCATGGAGCAGGTCCTCAAAGAATCAATCCTGAAGCACTTACATGAGATGAAAGTGATCAGGAACAGTCCGCATGGATTCACCAAGGGAAGGTCATGCCTGACTAATCTAATCGCCTTCTATGATGAGATTACTGGTTCTGTGGATGAAGGGAAAGCAGTGGATGTATTGTTTCTTGACTTTAGCAAAACTTTTGACACGGTCTCCCACAGTATTCTTGTCAGCAAGTTAAAGAAGTATGGGCTGGATGAATGCACTGTAAGGTGGGTAGAAAGTTGGCTAGATTGTCGGGCTCAACGGGCAGTGATCAATGGCTCCATGTCTAGTAGGCAGCCGGTGTCAAGTGGAGTGCCCCAGGGGTCGGTCCTGGGGCCGGTTTTGTTCAAGATCTTCATAAATGATCTGGAGGATGGTGTGGATTGCACTCTCAGCAAATTTGCGGATGATACTAAACTGGGAAGAGTGGTAGATACGCTGGAGGGCAGGGATAGGATACAGAGGGCCCTAGACAAATTGGAGGATTGGGCCAAAAGAAATCTGATGAGGTTCAACAAGGATAAGTGCAGGGTCCTGCACTTAGGACGGAAGAACCCAATGCACAGCTACAGACTAGGGACCGAATGGCTAGGCAGCAGTTCTGCGGAAAAGCACCTAGGGGTGACAGTGGACGAGAAGCTGGATATGAGTCAGCACTGTGCCCTTGTTGCCAAGAAGGCCAATGGCATTTTGGGATGTATAAGTAGGGGCATAGCGAGCAGATCGAGGGACGTGATCGTCCCCCTCTATTCGACATTGGTGAGGCCTCATCTGGAGTACTGTGTCCAGTTTTGGGCCCCACACTACAAGAAGGATGTGGATAAATTGGAGAGAGTCCAGCGAAGGGCAACAAAAATGATTAGGGGTCTGGAACACATGACTTATGAGGAGAGGCTGAGGGAACGGGGATTGTTTAGTCTTCAGAAGAGAATGAGGGGGGATTTGATAGCTGCTTTCAACTACCTGAGAGGTGGTTCCAAAGAGGATGGTTCTAGACTATTCTCAGTGGTAGAAGAGGACAGGACAAGGAGTAATGGTCTCAAGTTGCAGTGGGGGAGGTTTAGGTTGGATATTAGGAAAAACTTTTTCACTAGGAGGGTGGTGAAACACTGGAATGCGTTACCTAGGGAGGTGGTAGAATCTCCTTCCTTAGAAGTTTTTAAGGTCAGGCTTGACAAAGCCCTGGCTGGGATGATTTAATTGGGGATTGGTCCTGCTTTGAGCAGGGGGTTGGACTAGATGACCTCCTGAGGTCCCTTCTAACCCTGATATTCTATAATTCTATGATTCTGTCCAGCTACAGTGGAAGCTCTCCACCTCCAGAGTCTCTTGGCTCCTCTGTCCACACATGCTCAGTATGATCCCCTTAGTTCATGAGCAGTACTACCTGTCCAATAATGCTCTGAATGTTGCTCCCTCAAATGATCTCAGATTTGGATCACTGACCCTAGCCAGTGCCCCCTGAGGCACATCAAATTTCAAGGCAATCCATGTAACCATGACAATTTTAGAGCACTTAGAAGAGTGAAGATTTTCACAGGAAGCTGGTTGGTACCTTAACTTGACCAGACCTGGCAGCTCAGTATCATTTGTACAGTCCCCAGCAGATCCCAGTGGTTGGGTTGGGCCCTGTATGCATTACTTCAGTTCAAATATTAAATTGCAAGAAATAGTTTTATTCTGAAGTCACGCCTACATTATACACTTGGGACATCTCAATTTTTCTTGCAAAGATAAATATAGTTTTACCTGAATGAACTACTCCAGAGTCCTGTGTTTCGGGTGGGAAGAAGTATGCAAATATATTTAAATATTACCTTTCTTTAGGGTTGAGATGCAAGTCTCTTCGCTTGGGTCACTCACAGCCCCATCCGCACACACAGCCGAAACCCGGACTCTGTAGGGTGTCTCAGGACTCAGTCCATCAATGCTATAGAACTCGGTTCTCTTTTCTGTCCTTCGTTCCAGCCCTTTGTCTTTCCCCTCCTGACTTGTATCTCCTGCCTCCTCTTTATATTCCACCTTATACTCCCTTATTCTGACTCCATCTCCAGTGACACTTGGACTCTCCCAGGTGAGGGCGATGGCAGATGAATCTACAATAACTGTTACGGGCTTCCCAGGCGGGCTGGTAGGAGGGAGAGTCTTCACAGGATTACTCACATCGCTGCTCTCGCTGAGCCCTGGTTTGCTCACTGCAGCGTATCGGAAGTGGTACTCGGTGTTTGCACGTAGCCCTGTTACTGTGAATGTCTCTTGCGTGTTATTTACATTCACAGCCGTCCAGTTCTCCTGTCCTACAATTCTGTACTCTGCCCGATAGCCGGATATCTCAGTTCTTCCATAGGCTGCTGGGTTAAACTTGAGCTGCACACGGTCATGTTTGATTCCATCAATCAGGGGAGGAAGAGGCTTTGATGGAGGCTCAAAGTTGGTGCTGATCAGCTCTCCCTCCTCATACAGGTAAATGGAAGTGCCTGGATTGTCCTTGTCTGGAACAGAGGACACAATGAACCGAATCTTCCTGTTAGATTTGTTGACACTGACAAAATGTGAAAGGGACTTTGCAGATTTTCGAGCTTTTTTATATATTTCTTTTTCCTCAAACCACACTTTGGATTTTGGTTTCTCAGCGACAGAACTGGCTGCTGCAGGATCATGAGTTTCCTTTATATACTGGGTCTGAAGCCACTGTTTTAAATCTGATAAATATGGCTCCTCTTCATGCAGTGAGGTGAATGTAAAGGAGACGATAAAGTCAAGCTCAGGGTCGAGTACTATTTCATCTAGTTCACTCTGAGAGGACACCACTTTTACATTGCTTAGGATCTTAAGGTAGGAATTCACATAATTCATCTCTTTCTCCTTTGTACCCAGAAATTCACTGAGTCTCTGAGTATTGAACGGTGACTGGTTTTTACATGATAAAATATCCACCAGAGCCCCTTCCTCTTTTCCACCTCCACGGATTAACGGTAAGAGTCCTGCTAGCTGTTTCTGGAAAGTCTGTCTGTGTTGCTTACACAGATCTCTGAACTGCTGGATTTTCAGCTTGATTTCGGGGAAGCTTGTGGCAATCGGACTCTTCACCATGTCATTGCATTGCATGTTTACTTCTGCCAGTTCCTCCATAGCAGTCTGAGCATCAGAAATCAGTGTTAAGCTGATCTCACGCACCAGCCGAGCAGCTCTGGAATCCAGCTTGGTCAGCGGGTACAGCCAGACTCTCACTGGTACGGCCTTCTCCCCACTGTCACCCAGCAGCTTGGGGAGGGTGGAGTATATTTGCATGGCATCTTCGAAATTAGTTGGATTTCTCTCAAGAGCAAAATCACCATGGAACTTGCAGTTAAATTTTGAAGCATTTAATTTTTCCTTTTCATCCATTTTGACAGCTCCTTCCCCTTCTATGGAAAACATGGGTATCTTTTTAATTGCAATCTGGAGCTTTCCCTCTATCTCACGTACATTCTCAGAAGAAGAAACTTCCCGATCAAACACGAAGAAAGCCTGAGCCCCGTACAGCACAGCCGTGACTACATGGGTGGCCGTGCCTTGGTCAAATACAGCAGGATAAGAGACATTCTCTGTTCCTAAATGGTTCATAGTTAGTTGCTCAAACTTTGTTGTGGCAGAGTACTGGAGAGTAATTCGGGCCTGTTGTTTGGATTTTTTGGTGTCATTTAAGTATTTGGCAGATCCACTTACTTCAACCAGCCCCCCCAGGAAACTGGCCTTCAGCGAGGCTGTGACATCGAGGGCACTGGCCTTGTCTTCAATGGTGTCGGATGCGATGATCTCAAATTCAGTCTTGGGTTGTGGTTTTGTGTTTACATCCTTGCGAAGCTGTTCCAGGCCCCACAGCGTGATCCCTGGAATAGTAGAGACAGACACATGGTAACGTAACTGATAGATGCACAGGACACAGAGTGTATCCATGTTTTAATTGTGTCTCGTTTCTGAGATTGAAAAATAACCAGTGACGGACATCACGTAAACTGACCTGGTAACATACAAACGTGCCAAGTCAAGGCTGAACTCCACCCCTAACAACCTTCCCTTGCCCCCGGCTTCTTAGAGGACTTTGGAAGATGTGATCTTTTCTGATTTTTTTTTTTAATAAATCCCCCTTCAGAATGACTGAGTTCACTCCCCCCTCAGGAGTACACTGTCCCAGGTAGCAAGTGCTATAGTTATGATTGAAATGTCACTTCCATTAGAAACATCTGGTTTCTTTGATTTAAGAAGCTAGGAATTGCCACGGTTGACCTGATCCGTGATCCATCTAGCCCAGTATTCTGTCTCTGAGAGTAGCCAGCACCAGATCCTTCACAGGAAGAGGCAAGAAACCCTACTATATTGTTGGAAAATCTGCCCTCGTGGAGGTCTCATTGATCTCTAATAGTTGGAGATTGGCTTAAATCTTAAGTATAAGGTTTTATATCCCTTTCTAAACTTTCTTTTCATTGTTATAATCCCCGTATTCTTGTTACCCATATAAACTTCCAGTCCCTCTCAATGTCTAATCCTGGCCTCAGGACATGGAGGTGAGACGAAGGCAGCTGGGAGACGAAGGGAGTTAGCCGGCTGAGTTTGCCAGTGAAGGCAGGCAGGGAGGTAGGGTTTTTCTTTAACTTGAAGGCACTGCACAAGGAAGAACGTGCAATGCTGCACTGCCAACACCACTGCTCGCTCTTCATCTGCCTGAACCTGTGGGGCCCTGGCCAGACGGACATCCTCACTGGAGTCTTCTACCCAGATCCTCATCTTCACTTGCAGGGAATGCAGCCTGCATGTCCCTGCTGAAAACAGCCAGGAAGGGGGAACCAGCTGGTGTGAGAGGTGTCTGTCGGTGGAGTCCCTCAGGTAGCCGGTAAGAGAGCTGCGGGAGGAGGTGGCTCATCTGTGTAGCATCCAGGAGCGTGAGGACTTCATCACCAGGATGGACGTGGAGACATCCAGGATGGAGGACGCTAGCTGACTAGGGATGACGACAGAGGCACCAGAAGAGGAAGAAGACCCGGCTGCTCTGCAGAAAGGAGACTGGCTGCTGGCCACCTTAGACAGCAGGCTGTGCTCCACTCCCCACCCCGGCCCGCCATCCATCGAGGTCACGAACTGGCACGCTGTACTGGCCACAGGAGGAGAGGAGCAGACTCCAGTGGCTGAGGAAGAGGAGTCACCTGCTCCCAAGACTGGGAGGCTCACGGCCACCACACCCACCAGGAGGGGACGTAGGGTGGTAGTGGTCAGAGCTCCCTGCGGAGAGGGATGGAAGCCTCCATCTGCTGAGCTGACCTGACGTCCCAGGAGGTGTGCTGCCTGCCTGGAGCCCTCACCCCAGGTGTTCTGGAAAGGTTGCCAAGGCTCGTCCAACCATCTGGCTGCTGCCGCACACTACGCATCTACGTGGGCACTAATGATACTGCCAGCCTGACCCTGCGCAGTGACTCCTGGGCTCTGGGAGTGAGGGTGAAGGAGTCACGGGCGCATGTTGTGTTCTTGTCCATCCTCCTGGTTGAGGTTAAGGGCCTGGGCAGGGACGCACACATCCTGGAGATGATGCATGGCTGTGCGGGTGGTGTCAAATGGTGGACTTTGGGTTCCTAAGTCACGGGAGGCTGTTTCAGGAAGGAAATCTGCTGGGAAGAGATGGAGTACACCTGACCAAGAAGCGGGGGAGCATCTTCGAGCACTGACTTGCCAACCTAGTGAGGAGGGCTTTAAATTAGGATCAAAGGGGCAGGTGACAAAAGACGACAGGTAAGTATCAAAAAAGTGACCTTCACAGAGGGCTAGATGTTGCTGGGGTGAGTGGGAGGTGGAATGGAAAATTTACATTCGGGTCATAGGAGCAACAAGCGGGATAACAGAGGGGGAATCTGCTAAATATCTTGTCTATACAAAAAGGCAAGTTGTATGGGGAATAGACAGGAAGAGCTGGAAGTCTTAGTACATAAGCTAATTTAGTATTTAATTGGCATCACTGAGATTTGGTTCGATAAATCTCATGACTAGAATATTGGTGCATAGCATGTTCAGGATGGAAAGGTAAGCAAAAAAGGGAGGCGGGGTTGTACTATACATCAAGAGTATAGACACTTATGCTGTGGTCCAGGAGGTAAGAGGCTGACCCAGTTGAAATTCTATGGGTACAGATAAAAGTGGTCAGGGGAAAACAGGGGTGATGTTATGGTAGGGGTCTTCTATAGACCATCAAATCCAGAGGAAGAGACGCATGAGGCATTTCTAGAGCAAATAACAGAAATATCCGTACCACAAGACCTGGTAGTAATAGGGGACTTCAGCTACCCAGACATCTGTTGTAAAAGTAATCCCACAAAACACAAAGTGTCCAGTAAGTTCTTGGAATGTGTTAGGGACAACTTCTTGTTTGAGAAGATGGAGGAAGTAACAAGGGGGCAGCCATTTTAGACTTGATTCTGACTAAACGGGAGGAAATTGGTTGCAAATCTGAAAGTAAAAGGCAATTTGGGTGACAGTGTTCATAAAATGATAGATTTTATTATTTTAAGGAAAGGGAAGAGTGAAAAGAGAGAATAAGACAATGGACTTCAAAGGAATAAACAGACTTCATTAGACTCAGAGAACTCTTCAGTAACGTTCCTGGGAAGAAAATCTAAGGAAAAAGAGGAGTTCAGGAGAGCTGACAGTTCGTAAAAGAGACAGTATTAAAGGCACAGCTGCAAACTATTCTGATTTGAAGGTAAGATAAGAAAAATAGCAGGAGGACAATATGGCTTCATCAGGAGCTCTTCAGTAACCTGAAAATCAAAAAGAAACCCTACAAAAAGTGGGAACATGGATGAATTGCTAAGGAGGAGTACAAAAGAATAGTATAAGCAGACAGGGACTAAATCAGAAAGGCTAAGGGACAACATGAGTTACACCTAGCAAGGGACATAAAAGGCCGTAAGAAGAGGGTTTGTAAAAATATATTAGGAGCAAAAGAAAGACGATGAAAAGTGTAGGTCCACTATTTAGTGTGGAAGGAAAGCTAATGACATCAAGAACACAGAAGTGTTTAATGCCTACTTTGCTTCAATCTTCTCTAAAACGGTAAATTGTGACCAGGTGCTTAATACAATTAGAATTAATAATAAGGGGGAAGGCACACAACTCAGAATAGCAAATGAACAGCTTAAAGAATATTTAGATAATTAGATGTATTCAAGTCAGCAGGGCTTGACTAAATTCACCTTAAGGAACTAGCTGAAGCAGATCTTGGATCTGTTAGTGATTATCTTTGAGAACTCATGGAGGATGGGTGCGGTCCCAGAGGACAGGAGAAAAGCAAATATGGTACCTATCTTTAAAAAGGGAAACAAAGAGGACCTGGGGAATTATAGAACAGTCAGCCTACCTTCAACCCTGGAAAGATACTGGAACAAGCTATTAAACAATTAGTTTGTAAGCACCTAGAAGATAACAGGGTAATAAGTAATAGCCAACATGGATTTGTCAGGAACCAATCATGCCAAACCAACCGAACTGCCTTCTTTGACAGGGTTGCTGGCCTAGTGTTTAGGGGGAGAAGCAGGAGACATGATAGATCTTGATTTTAATACGGATTTTGACACAGTCCCACGTTACATTCCCATAAGAAACTAGAGAAATGCGGTATCGATGAAATTGCTATAAGGTAGGTGGGTAACTCGATGAAAGGCTGTGCTCAGAGAGTAGTTATCAATGGTTTGCTGTCAAACTAGGAGGATGTAGGTAGTGGGGTCCTGCAGGAGTCTGTCCTGAGTCTGGTGCTAATCAGTATTTTGATCCATGACTTGGATAATGGGGTGGAGAGCACACTGATACAATTACCAGATGACACCAAGCTGCAAGCACTTTGCAGGACAGGATTAAAATTCAAAATGACCTTGTTGATTTCAGATCAATTCTCCAGTTTATAAAGATGAAATTCAACAAAGACAAATGCAAAGTACTACACTTAGGAGGGAAAAATCAAATGCACAAATACAAGACGGGGAATACTGGCTAGGCAGTAGTACTGCAAAAAGAGAACTGGGGTTATAGTGGATCACAAAGTGATAGGAGCCCACAATGGGATCCAGTTATGCAAAAGGCTAATGCCATTCTGGGGTGTGTTAACAGGAGTAAGACACGGGATGTAGTTGTCCCGCTCTTGACAAAGCCCTGGCTGGGATGATTTAACTGGGAATTGGTCCTGCTTTGAGCAGGGGGTTGGACTAGATGACCTTCTGGGGTCCCTTCCAACCCTGATATTCTATGATTCTATGATTCTTCTCGGCACTGGTGAGGCTTCTGCTGGAGTATTGTGTCCAGTTTTGGGTGTCACACTTCAGTAAAGATGTGGACAAATTGGAGAGTCCAGAGGAGAGCAACAAAAATGATAAATGGTTTAGAAAACATGACCTTTGAGGATAGGTTAAAAAAACAGGTATGTTTAGTCTTAAGAAAAGCAGACTGAGAGGGAACCTGATAACAGTCTTCAAATATGTTAAGGGCTGTTATAAAGATGACAGTGATCAATTGTTCTCCACATCCGCTGAAGGGAGGACAAAAAGTAATTGGCTTAATCTGCAGCAAGGGAGATTTAAGTTAGATAATAGGAAAACTTTCTAACTATGGGAGTAGTGAAGCTCTGGAACAGGCTTCCAAGGGAGGTTGTGGAATCCCTGTCACTGGAGGTTTTGAAGAACAAGTTAGACAAACACCTGTCAAAGGTGGTCAAGGTGCACTTATTCCTGCCTCAGCACAGGTAGCTGGACTAGATGACCTCTCAAAGATCCGTCCAGCCCTACATTTCTGTGATTCAGTGATATCTAGGGGCAGAGAGTTCGTCATGCTAATCACGTTGCTTTAAAATGTATGTCCTTTTGTTGTTTAAATTAGGTGTATTTTAATTTCATAGTGTCCCCTTGTTCTTGTACTATGAAAGAGTAAATAGCTCCTGCGTATTTACCTTCTCTAACCCATTCATTCTTCTGTATCCCTGTAGCAATTTCCCCTTATTCTTCTCTCCATATGAAATATTTTGTTTTGTCAATCTCTCTTCCTGTGAAATTCTCCCCAGGCCTCTAGTTATTCTCATCATCACTGTCCAAACCCCCCCGGTTTCTGTTATATCCTCTTTGTGATGGGATGGCCAGCACTGAACACACATTGCAGGGGAGGGTGGCCCATTGATTTATATGTAAGCAGGGTTTGAATGAGCTCTCCCCTGCCAGCTAGCTGGGGAGGGGGAAAGGCTTCAGGACAAGACTGTATTCACATGAACACACCCCCTCTGCCAAGGTATCCAGCAGACAGAGCTGTGTTGCCAAAGTGATCAGCTCTGGCTGGTGTTGGGTTAGAAATCACTTTGTATTGAATGAGCATAAGCTTTCGTGAGCTACAGCTCACTTCTATAGCTCACGAAAGCTTATGCTCATATAAATTGGTTAGTCTCTAAGGTGCCACAAGTCCTCCTTTTCTTTTTGCGAATACAGACTAACACGGCTGCTACTCTGAACTTGTATTGAATGCAGGGGTAATGAAATGTTGTTATCCTGATTGTAGGAGTAAAGGGCAGCAGATCTGTGCTTAGCCTGTCCTGTTTGAGGGGGTCACCCTCAACTGAACTGAATTGGCTAAGCAGGAGTTTCGGATGCCAGAGCCCTGTGAAAGTAAGAAGGGGTGGGGGGCAGGTGTCCCTGCTGGGAAGTGTGGGTTCTGCCTAAGAATCATAGGCATGGTTTAACTAGCCCCTTGCTACTGTTTAAAGATAGAGCTAATTAGCACTCTAGAAGTGAGCTGTAGCACCTCTGAAGTCTGGGTCCTCACTGACCAAGGACAGCCACTGTGAGTGGGGTGGGGTGGGGTGGGGGAGAAGGGACAGACCCGTTGAAGGAACTTTTGGTTGTAGAAGTCAAGAACCTGAGGCAAAAGACCCTGCCCAGCGCACTCTGGGGTGGGGGGTTGCTCACGGTTTTAGGTTTATGAATCCTGCTTGCAGCGTGATCCCAACTTAATGTCCGGTGACTTCCCTCCTTTCATTCAAAGTTTCTTTTTTGCACTCAGGCTCTGTGCGTGGGAGGGGGTAGGACAGCCTCTTCGAGGCGCCCAGGGGTGTGTGTAATTGTCCCGGGTTATTGGGTGGGAGCTTGTACCGGTTCTGTGTTGTACTGTTGAAAGGGAACCCCTGGATATTGAATCCGGCCCTGGTTGCTGTCAACGTCCCCTGGCAGAAGGGTTACCTGTATAATGCCATTGGAATAGCTCTGATGGCATTTTCCATCCCGTTCCTCAGGCACCCGAGCACCCTGTTCACGGCTTGGCCTGCCACTGGACACAGAGTGGGTGTTTTCACTGAGCTGTCCACAGCGATGCCAGGCCTTTTCCAGGAGCGGGGGACAGTTAATATGGGTCACAGTGATGCGTGTGAATAGCTGAAGTTTTTCCTTCTAATGGGTCCCCTCATGCCCTGAAGATCTGTGTGTAGAGAGGACCCTTCTCACCAGGACCTCACCTGTCCCATGTGGAAATGGGGGGATGAGCCAGCTCGGGGGCACTGTCCCCCTTTCCTAGGCCGACTGCCATGCGGGTGGGGCTGCAGAGATATCGCAGTGGCAGGGGAGTGGATGGGAAGTTTCTCCTTTCTCCTAGTGCAGCCAGTGCTGTAAGGAGGGTCAGCAGGACAGTACCCGGGCAGGTTTGGATGCCCTTTGTTTTTTCCCCAACTCAAATCCCAAACCCAAATGTTCCTAAAAGAAACAGGTGCCAAATGCTTCTTTTTTCTGAAACGCTAAGTTGGGCCCCGGGCTCCCCCCGGGTGACAATTACCTGGGATGAGGGAGTCCTTGCGGCAGTCGTACAGCATCCCCAGCTGGAAAGGGCGGCCCAGAGCCGGCATCGCAATGGTGTCATCTGATCCGGCCATTGTTACACACCCAGATGCTCTCTCCTCTGTCTGACCTGCAAGAAAGAACTGGGGTTACACTTAAGTTTCTGGGAAGCAGATTTAGAATCGAGTCACTGGCTTCAGTCTTCAAAGCTTTTTCCGAACATTGCCTTGGTTTTAAAAGAATGATGGATCTTCTAGTCTCCACAGGGGACAGGAGAGGAAGAAAGTCACTCAGAGATTTACCTCTCCCTTTTCTCGCCTCAGATTATGAATTCTAAATTTTACATTTCAAAGGAATTGTTCCTTTTAGGAAGAATGGGAAATAGTTATAATTTGATGCAATTTAGAGAGATGTAAGCCACAAAGCAAAACAACTGTTGTATTTTGCTGCTCTCATGTAAGATCCCAGACGTATTGAAAGAACGCTGTGACATGCCAGCAAGCTGGATGTCCTGATAGGGGGCTAAATTGCAGCCAGGGAGCCATAAATACCTGCTGCCCAATGGTTAAGAAGAGAGGCGACAGCTCTTACTTAACACAAGCCAGAGCATGCCTCTGAAGCAGGGGTGAGCAAACTATGGCCCGCAGGTCGAGCCGTTTTAAGCTGGCCCATGAGCTCCCGCTGGGGAGCAGGGTCTGGGGCTTGCTCCGCTCTGGCGCTCCAGCTGGGGTGCCGGGTTGGGGGCTGCTCGAGCTGGGGTGTCGGGGGCCGCACCACACGACTCTCAGAAGCGGCCGCGTGGCCCTGCTTCAATGGTCGGGGGCCGCTCCACACATATGAGCCAGAGAAGGGACACCCCCCTCCCGCACCCCAACCCCAATTTTGTGTGCATTCATGGCTCGCCATACAATTTGTATTCCCCGATGTGGCCCTCAGGCCAAAAAGTTTGCCCACCCCTACTTTAAAGTCTAAATAAAATCGTACACCTTGCAGGCCTTGCACCGTGGAATAGAGCAGGAACATCTGCCAATAGATATAGCATAAGGAAATCTCCCTCTCCGAGACCATTCCCAGAGGAGCGTTAAAGGGAACGGCTCCATTTCATGTCTCTTACCTACACTTACAGAACCGCAAGCCACCCACCAACTGTCTTCCTGTTACACGTTTACCCCAGAATCCATCACACCAGCCTCCTCTTGATATGTGCCCTACAGAGGGTTGTTTTAAAGTTTAATCTCAGCGAATGTATGAACTCAGGCCTTGTCCACATGGGGGTACGTTGGCACTGAGTTGACGCACACTAGTAGCTGCGCACTACGTAAGCCATACTCCTAGCATGCGCACGGGACAGCTGTGCCCTCTTTCCAAAATGCCGTACCCCACAATTGTAGCTGAGAGATTTCAAACGATTTAGTTTCAGAGTAACAGCCGTGTTACTCTGTATTCGCAAAAAGAAAAGGAGGACTTGTGGCACCTTAGAGACTAACCAATTTATTTGAGCATGAGCTTTTGTGAGCTACAGCTCACTTCATCGGATGCATACCGTGGAAACTGCCAATTTCCACGGTATGCATCCGATGAAGTGAGCTGTAGCTCACGAAAGCTCATGCTCAAATAAATTGGTTAGTCTCTAAGGTGCCACAAGAACTCCTTTTCTTTTTGCAAATGATTTAGGAAATTATTTGCCTAGTATTAGGAATTGTCACTGATTTATACTTAGCAGTATGAAAATGTGATTGTTAGCTTATATATGAGTAAGTCTGTGAGTCTTTCATGGAGGTCCTGGAAGTCACAGAGTCCATGACTTTCCAGGACCTCCATGACTTCTGCAGCTGCAGCGGCTGGTGCAGCTGACCCTGGGGCTGCCCCAGCACCTGGGTGACCCCAGGGCCAGCCACTCTGGCCACTGCTTCGGCGGCCCCAGACAACTGATCCCGGGCCCTGCCACGGAGCAGCAGTCCAGGAGCAGCAGCGGTGGGGCCCCGGGTTCCCCCCCGCCTGGAGGAGCAGCAGCGGCGGTGGGGCTACTGGCCGCCACCCCCCCAGGAGCAGCAGTGACTGTCGGAGCACCCCCCCAGCAGCAGCCTCCCCTGGAGCACCCCTCCTCCCCCAGCACCTAAGATTTAGTGAGGGGCATTTTTAGTAAAGTCACGGACAGATCTTTGGCCGTGACTTTTTTTTATTGCCCTTGACCAGTCTGTGGCCTTTACTAAAAATACCCATGACTAAATCATAGCCTTATATATGAGCATTCAGAGAAGTATAATTAGTTGGTATTATTAAGCTGTGGTTTGTTTCGGGAACAATAGAACATAGGACTGGAAGGAACCTCCTGGGTTGAGTCCAGTCCTCTGATACCGTAGGCAGCCCCGTCATATCGTCCCGTTCCTAAACTTACCAAGCTCCTTCTTAAAACTAGTCCGTCTGCCCCCACTATTCCTATTGGACGTCTGTTCCACAGCCTCAACCTCACTTCCACTTCGTTTCGGGGGGCTGTTCATAGCGCTGATTTTGACAAATAAATCTCTGTTTTATTCTGGGTCCCGGTTCCCTCAGGGATGCTCCTCTGGTTGAGGTCTATCCTGACAGGTGTCATCAGCTGAGACTGATGAAGTTAAGCACCCCCCCTCCCCACCTATGTGCAAAAACCTGTTGGTATCACAGCAATTTTCAAGGCAGTTGAGTGTGCAGGGGGATTTTAGACTGCTACACAGGAGGAGAGTTTCAACCTTGACTGTCGTGGAGCTACTGCCCCACTAAAATCTAGGTTCAAATGCTGCCCCCTTTGCCATGTGTCACGGGGTCCAGACACCCCAAGGGCAGAACAGGGGGTCCGAACCCCTAAGAACAAGCAATGGACTCAAAGGATTGTGTACAATGCTATTGTGTATAATAATGTTGAGTGAGCTCTTTTCTGAAAGCCTGTGATGTTCTCTACTTACTGATCACTGTGCGAGATGGATCCAGGCTGTGCTTAGGGATTTATGTATCGTGTATGTAGAGTCTGGAGCTGGTTCCTAAAGCTTCATCTCCCGCTCCCAGCAGGGTGGTGGCCAGCCAGGCAGGGAGGAGCTGCCTCCCCAGCCAGACAAGACTAACCCCCAGCACCTCGCATTGTACAACCCAGGAGAGACAAATGATGGGTCTCTAGTGTGCAAACAATGTGGAGTGTGTCCCAAAGTGAACTGAGAACTGGGGGGCTGGCTTCAGGCCTTTGGGGTGAGGAACCAGAGTGGAAAAGTCCCCAGGTCTGGCAGTGAAGAACTCGGGGTAGGTGGATTTGGGGACGCTTGGGACTGGAAGGGCTGGTGGGGTCACCCTGCAGGGATAACGAGGCTGCTGGAAGCCAGGGTGAGACCTTTCTGCCTGTGGGCTGGATGCTGGTGCCAGGGCTCCGAGCCAGAGCCACACAGGATTAAGGGACCCACGGTCACAGGCAGATGGTGACAGACCGCCTGACTGCTCTGGGGGATCCCCAGAATGTCACACCGCGATATCAGAATGCTTCACATCCAGGCTCGTGCTGTGTCTTGTCACTATTCCCTGTATAACATCAATACAGATTAACCCTCTCTTTGCCACCCTCTCAGCTGCAGCCCGTGGCCAGACTCATCCCCACACTGGCACGGCGGCTGGTGCAGGGGGGTGGCTCGTACGCTCAGGGGTGCCTTAACTTGTGCCCTGCCTCAGTGATTCCTCTGGGCCATTGCAGAGATGTAAGAATGCCCCTGCCATGTCTCCTCCAGCCCCTGGCGCACCCCAGAACACCCCGATACCCCTCTGTGCTGGGGTCTTGGAGAGGGGGCCTAGGGGCTCTCTGAGGTGGGGGTTGTCATAAATATAAAGGGAAGGGTAAACCCCTTTAAAATCCCTCCTGGCCAGAGGAAAAATCCTCTCACCTGTAAAGGGTTAAGAAGGTAAAGGTAACCTCGCTGGCACCTGACCAAAATGACCAATGAGGGACAAGATACTTTCAAAAGCTGGGAGGAGGGAGAGAAACAAAGGGTCTGTGTCTGTGGGTAGGCTGCTTTGGCCGGGGATAGACCAGGAATGGAGTCTTAGAACGTTTAGTAAGTAATCTAGCTAGGTACGTGTTAGATTATGATTTCTTTAAAGGGCTGAGAAAAGAATTGTGCTGAATAGAATGACTATTCCTGTCTGTGTATCTTTTTTGTAACTTAAGGTTTTGCCTAGAGGGATTCTCTATGTTTTGAATCTAATTACCCTGTAAGGTATCTATCATCCTGATTTTACAGAGGTGATTCCTTTACTTCTATTTCCTTCTATTTCTATTAAAAGTCTTCTTGTAAGAAAACTGAATGCTTTTTCATTGTTCTCAGATCCAAGGGTTTGGGTCTGTGGTCACCTAAGCAAATTGGTGAGGATTTTTACCAAACCTTTCCCAGGAAGTGGGGTGCAAGGGTTGGGAGGATTTTGGGGGGAAAGACGTGTCCAAACTACGTTTCCCAGTAAACCCAGTTAGAGTTTGGTGCTGGCAGTGGATATTCCAAGGACAAAGGATAAAATTAATTTGTACCTTGGGGAAGTTTTAACCTAAGCTGGTAAAAGTAAGCTTAGGAGGTTTTCATGCAGGTCCCCACATCTGTACCCTAGAGTTCAGAGTGGGGGAGGAAGCTTGACAGGGGTATTATCCAAGGGGCTGTATCAATATCTTCTACTGTATCAAAATCTCCAGCTTCCCTGCTTTCACCTCATTCCCCTCCTGTCTATCACAAATGCTGCTGCTAAAGTCACTCCCTCTCCAAGCGCATTCTGTCCTCCTCACTTCCCCTCACTGACTTCTGGCCTGTTACCACGTTCAATCCAACTTCTGTGGGCCTGAGCCCCATTGCCCTGCACCTTGTCACCGACGCCAGCGCAAAATGGATGTAAAGCGTTGCCCAGCAGGAACGAAAGTGCTTCACACCCCAAAGTACACTGGTGTAATTCACTTCACAAGGGGCCGGGTGACAGGAAATCAGAGTCACTGAGCAGAGTCCAGCCTGTTACCTGCGTCATCTCCCTGTATCCTGCTTCCTTGGTTTCAAGTCTCGCTCGCTCTCTGTGGCTCAGTCTTACTGCGTTCTCTTTTTATTATATAAGTCCCCAGGACGTGCAGGTGTCTGTTAC